GACGAACATCTTAGAATTCAAGAAGCATAGCTTTGATTCCTCTACTTGTTTCTCTTTCCACATTTCCAGTTAACAATGACCCTGTGTAGTCTGGTGACATTGAAGCATTAAAACAATAGAAAGTGGTCATTGAACTCTTATGATCAAGGTGATTTTGTTTGTTTGTTTGTTTGTTTTTAAAGTGGTTATCTGGAGGAGATAGAGATCCTAAGAATTGGTGATCACCTTTTATTCAGTTGTTCACCTATAATGTATGATTATGCATTTGAATTTTCGCTTCCTACACTCTATTAAAGTCCTTTCCTTTGGATATCTCAATTGTTGAATTGGTTTGTAGCTATCTTCTCTAGCTCTTGTCAGTCCTTGGGGATCCTCTTCAATGACTGCAAGCCATCCACCCTGAATACACCAAGCCCTTTGCGATGCAAACCAAGTGGCTATGTTCTCATTGTCTTACTAGACCACTCCCTCCAGAATGGCCTCTTCCCCCTGGGCACCTGGTTTCCTTTTCTGGAGCATCTTATTCAGAATTTAGCTAATGTGAGATGATAACTATTTTGTTTCCTCACACATTGTATTTCTAATCTTGACTTTTCTAAAACATTTTTCTGTGGGCAGACTGTATGTCTCATAAGTTCCTTTTAGAGAGTATGCATGTTTTTAATATTTTTTGATCTGGTAAGTTTATTTATTTGAAATAAAAGGACGATTAGACCTTACATCGGCAATTAATAACATATTTTGGCGCTCTCTACTACCAAATGAACTTGTTATCCTCCCAGGTACCTGGTTCATCTGTAACCGTCTTTAGGCACAGAAAGAGAAAGTGTGTGAGGCTAGTGTGAGAAGAGAAGTTCTATTTCGGTTGGGAGGAAAATTTTGCCACATAATTGTAATGAGCAACAAATCAGTGATTAATGATGCGTTGTATTCTAGAGTTTAACTAATAAGAGCTAAGAAAAGGCTTTTCCCACTTCAAATGATTCTCAACCTATTGTGAGTATTTCTATAATTTGCTCAACGCACAGATAGTAATGAAAACTGAGCCAATTATTCAGAAATTTCAATATTTATTCCAAATTATGGATTATTGAGTTATCGGAATATTTCATATACAGGAAAAGAACATAAATGTCACCTCTACTAATTCATTTCTCCATGAAAGTCTTCCAGACAATTACCGGTACTACCGGTGGTCCAAGCTTTAGGTGCATTTCATTAAAGGTATAGTGTCATTACCAGATGAATTGGTTTATATAAAAGCACTTACTACAAAGCCCTATAATGGAAGGTTAAGTGCTACACTTCATTACTAATTTGAGCCCTTATTACTTATATTTGCCGTGCCGGCACTTTTAAAGGAACCAAATATCATCTGTTGGTCCCTGCTTCTCTGAATATTGGACTAGACGGTAAAAGCATTAGTCCAGCTGCTTTTATAAGGAATCACCAAAAAGTAAAAATAAATTACCATAAACCCATATGCGTGTGGGATGTACTAGGCTTGCTATTGAAGTCACATTTGCAATGACTTTGTTCTAACCACCTTCATCTCAGCAACACGTAGTCTGAGATTTATATTCATCCTTCGTGGTCCTGTCGTAGATGAAGCTCTGAGAGAAACGGCATTTGAAATTTTCATGGCTTACTGCCTACTTCAGCATCATGCTGAAATGCATACAGATCGGGTGATTAATAAAATATTTGATGACAACAATGGTGGTTCCCTTGAGTTCTTTACATATTGATCATTAACTTTTTATATGGATGTATCCAAATGCTTCACCTGTGCTCTGATATTCTTGAGGGCAGGTTCACTGTTTTACCCTTGCTTGTATCCTTCGGGAAATTAGCAATTCTACTTGTGTTTGATTTATTAATACCATCTAAAACATTTCTTGGGGAAACGGGCACTTAATAAAATCCTTGTCTAATGCAATATAACACCTAAAATCTAAAGCTCTATCATATCTAAAATAAAGATTTATAAAGATTTACTTGTTATGTACAATACCATTGTAAGCTTCTGATTTTTAAATATATTCTGCATTATGTATCTTATTCTGAAACTCCATCCATTTAATTATTAATTAAAGCTCGCCACATGTTAGACTAGTACTAGTCAAGAAAAATATATAAGTATATTTTAAAATTTAATTTATGAACATTTTCTCAATTTCATTTAACAGTATTTTCCATATACATATACTCGAGTATAAGTTGACCCGAATATTGGCTGAGGCACCTAATTTTACCACAAAAACTGCATTTAAAATGTGCTGAAAACCTCAGCGTATACACAAGTATATACAGTACATTAGGTATTAGCATGTCAAGAGAAGACAAAACAACGTCTTTTTTGATATCAATATGTGCACAATGAACAGATTGGGAAAATGGATAAGCTCTTATTAAAATGGTGGTATACATAAATCTTTCAAAGGTATTAGGGAATATTTACCAAGATGCCTTGGTGAATTTGGGTAGGTTCTGATTATCCATGCTAGGGAATGAATGTACTATATTTCCCTTTTAATGCATTATAATTAAGTCAAAAAGCAGCTATATTTAACTTGGTATTGTTCAGATTTTTCCAAACTAATTAAGCATAGGTTGCTACCCTCTATAAGTTACCATTAATATCCCCTAGAAAATAGTTCTTAAAGATACCAGTTTGAAAATGGTTAAGAGAGAACAAATAATAATTCAATAAGTAGAAAAATGAATGTTGAAATAAAGTTAGGCTTCAAGAAATAGCTGCCCCACAGTAATATTTCTAGAATGTGTCTTTTTGCATACTTAGGTCTATGAGAGGCCACCATCCCAGGGCAAAGGTCAGTGCTGCCCTGGTCTCCGTGTTCCAAAGCCAATAGTGAAATGATTCATTTCGGTCACTACGTACTGATTAGTCCATCAGTTTATATACCATCGTAGTCATTTTTACTGTACAAAATGAACGATAATTTATTTTTGTACTTTCAGGAAGTTTACCAATGTACTTTTCTGTGTTTCCACTCAGGGTATGGTTATAAAAAAACATATTTCCAGTAGAATTTCAGTGAATGCAGTAAGTTATTAGTAGTGGCTATATAATATTGTATCCATGTATTATGCTGTGTTCTTTCCATTTTTTAATTCTATTTCTTAACAGAATGTGTATGTTCTCAAAACTGTAATTTAAGGTGGTCATGAATCCCAGGACACAGAGTAAGCAAACAGGTACAGAGTACCTCCTATTGGCCAGTATCATCATAGGCACTGGACATTCTGTCAATTTGCTTGCTTCTGAATTTTGTCTTCCAGCAATTCAAACAATCTTTTTGCTCATTTAATTCAGCAAATATTTGCAGAGCATCGGGACTATCGTCAAGTGTGACCCAGGTTTTGAGGAGGTAGAGTTTTGGAAATCAGGATGGGTCCCGAAGGGAATCAGTCATCTGATTGCCTACATTGTGAATCAGTACTACGGAAATGGAGCGCTTCCTTAAGAGATCAGTCACTTCACCAAATCAGTTCATCCAAAGAATTAAAGAGCATTCTCACAGAGGAGTTGATATGCCATCGTAATCATTTTTACTGTACAAAATGAACGATGATTTATTTTGGTACTTTTTCTTTATGCTACAAAGATAGCGTCTTAAGAGCATTCAGGTGTTTTAAAAGGTGCAGAGAAAACAGTAATTTTTAGCAACAAATTCAGAAATAAAATATCGAGAAAATAAATAAATGTGGGACAAATCGTTTTATATTTCAAATTTGTATTTTTCTTAAGCATTAATTGCTTTTTCATTGGGAATCCCTGCAACTACAGAGAACAGTGGCTTATATTTCTTTCATTGCAACCATATAACACTGACCAAGCTCGCTAGCAAAAGATATTTTATCACTCAGCGACTTCATCTTCAGTTACAAAGACTTGAGATTAGTTAATGTTAGTGTCACGGAGCCCATGTGAGAGTCCGTGCTGCTGTGGCCCTGACAACACACGCCATTTCATCCACAGACAGATCCTTACAACTGCAAACGGACAGAACGCTAGCCCTTTACTCTGTCGCTCCTTGTCCCAAGACCCTCTTGCACATTTTGTTTGTTTTAGCTGCGGACCACAAACAAAATCCCATTTTCTCCCTGAAAATGCTTCACACTATTCCCTCCCTTCATTGAAAATGCTAAGATTGTTACTTTTGACAAAGCCTTTCCTTTGTTGAAATGCAAGGGTCCAGTAAAAAGAGCTTTGACATGTTGTGCCTGTAACGTGTGCATTTGGGGGCTTGCCCTCTTTGGTGGCCTGAATTTTGCAAACGATAATGTGTGCCTTCAAGGTCTCCTATAAAATGCCAATTAGATACTGTATCAAGAACAATTAGGACAGCGTTACAGTCATAGGATTCTAAAGTCCAATCTATACTTGATGGTTTCTCAGAAAAACCACAATTTGGTGAAACGGCCGCAAAACAGTGCTTTCTTTTCCATAAAATCTTCCCCGGATACACATTCACTGGCTTACCTGCAGGGTAGCGCTCGATCACGGGCCAGCTGTCCACCTGTAAAGTGGCATTGCCCCCACTCCGCGTGAAACGCACTACATGGTACTTCCCATCGTTTATGATTGCATTGGACTCTTCAATGGCGATGTCATCTGTCCCAACATTAAATTTAACTCCAATTTTCCCTTGGTGCTGGAAGGAAGAAGGGGGAAAGGGGGAGTTGAAGTACAGTGTACATCTAAATCAACATTTAATAAGAATGATGCACCGGGCTCAACAACAATGGCGTTCCTCCCATTTTACTTCTGAAGGGCCGTGTGTACTAGAAACAGCTTCTCGACGTTTAGGGAAATCTCCGTGGTCTCTTTCATGGATAAATGATCATCGGAAAGATGCCTTTCAAGGGAATTGAGCCACCTTCTCCCCAGAGGCTGCCCCACACAAGGTACACAGCTGCCCACATGAAAAACCATCTTTCCATGTTCTTTCACATGGCTCCTGTAATCCACCCTTTCTATCTCACAGGAAAAAGAGCTGGAAAGTCTCCCTTTTAGTATTGTTGCAATCTGAGCAAAGAAACCTGTTTAGAGTCGACTGATAAAATGCTTACAACACAGAACATCATTCTAGAGGATGTGAGCACAGGGTCAGACATTTAATGAGGGCACTTCTTTGGTCATCATTCACAAAACCATCAAATGCTAAGAGACTAACGCTTACCTGATTCCTTCATTTTACAGATGATGCAACTATGAGACAAGGAGATGCAATGATTTGCTTAGGGTTATATAACTTCCTAGTGATGCTATAACCGACATCAGGTTCCTCAGTCTCAGTTTATGTCAAAGCTAAGAAGCAGCTCAGGTGTGGTTATCTAAAAGTGAACCACCTCTTTGAGTTAAGCTGGGCAGTGTGTAAATCATCCTAAGGGCAATGCTGCTGTTGTTAACTTTAGAATTTTCTGATAGTAGGCAGCAAAGGGAAGCACATGTGTAAGTCCTCTGGCTCTGAGAAGCATTCACAAGCAGCAGAACTGTCAACTAGACCTTGAGCTCAGTGGATTTGAAAGTATGTGGATGTGCCCTTAATCAGTAACTCAGAATACTAGCACTTCAGGCCCTTGTCAGAATACATAACCTGAAACTGTCTGCTGCTCACCTTTCATCAAACCTCAGTGGGGAGGAATGGCGTGGAGGAAGCAGGGGCTTAAAGGGTAGAACATCTATCCACACACTGGATGCCAAAAACCTGAAGGTGTTGACCACCATCACTTGACCTCTTGCTGGATTCTCACAATTGAATTAGACGGCAAGTTCAACGGAAAGTTCTTATAATATGATCTTATGTAAATCTGCACAATTAAAGGGCGGTGTTGGACCATGTTATTTACTTCACTGATAAATGTCAGTGTAGTAGACACTACTATTTTCTGTAGACACCTCAAAGAGATTTTTTTGTTTGTTTCTTTCCCAGGGTCTTGATTCTTTCTGAAAAATAGGCCATTGACAGCCTTACAGAAAACAGTTCCTCTCTGACATAAGAGTCACCCCAAGGAGTTGGAATCCATTGGACAGCAACTTGTTGACATGACTCAGGAAATCTCTTCCTCATAAGAAGTGTCCATGGTTCCTAAACGTTTTATTTGAATTGTCATTGGCCTGATGAACAATGTAACTTTTAAAGAAAACATCGTTTCTCTTTGATTACCTGTTAGGCAACTAAAAATGAAACTCATACAACAAGCTTAATAATCCCATAGACTTTCTGCCTACTGTCTTCCTCTAGACATATTTTTATTTTATACCATCTTTTTTGTGATCCTGGCTGTTAAGTCCACAGCTTTGGTGGGGATTTCAGAGCCCCGGTGGTGCAGTGGCTAAGGGTTGTTGGGTTGTGATGCACGTGGCTGGTAGTTGGGACCCCCAGCAGCTCCTCCGGAGAAAAGCTGGCTAGGTGTTCTACTCTCACAGAGTTACAGTCTCAGAAACCCATAACGGGGCTGCTATGAGTCAGCATTGATGAGATGGCAGCGAGTTCCATTTGCGACAAGATTCAGGGGATTAAAGTATAACGCCCATAGATCTGAAACGTTATCCAAAAGTTAGTGGAGACATTTCTTAGATTTGTTTTAATCACTGATGTTCTGTGATGCTTATTTCTTCATTTTGATAGAATTCATATTTTCTCCTTTTCCGTAAGTTATTTAACATCAGTAGCAATCAATTTACAGAGCCAGATATTTGTGCTTCTATTCATAATCTGTGAACTTTCTAAACCCCTCCCTTTGCTGACAGCAAAGCAAGTTATTTCAATTATACAAACAATAAAACTTGCTAAACAGATAATTTCTTGCCAACAGATAATTACAATTTAAGAGAATTCATTTCATATTCTTATTCTCTGGGATTAAATGTGATTGTTTCTGCCAAATTCTCATGAATATTGCATTAGCAAAACAAGAAGTAATTTCACTGGACATGTACTGATCCCTCTGCATTGTACTGCCGTTGAAATGGATAACTGGCTCACACCATAATTTCCAAAAATCTATTATGAGAATATCAGTAACGAGGCATTTATAATTTACTGAAGTCTTCCCATGGATTCATTAAATAAATAGTGTCAAAGGTAATTATTGGTTTTTCTCCTCAAAGGCTCATTTCTGAATAAAGATTCCATTATTAGACAGACCAAGTGAAGAGGAAGCATTATGAGGTATGACACTAGCCAAGGACTTCAAAGTTCTATCATGTTGCACCTTGGCTTAATTCAGAGTTTAATTCTATTTGCAATAGCATATTTATTTGAAAATAAATATTTTAACCTATATTAATACTCAACAGTGTCCTCAATCGCTTGAGCATATTCCAAGCACCATGTGTACATATTAGAAATGCAGACATATTTCTTTATGTGTATTTATGATATACCTCTGTAGTCAAAGCAGAATGCGTATTCTATTTGGGATGACAGAGAGTCCTGGAAATAGATAATGGTAATGGTTTCCCAAAACATTTGTCAGTTTTTCAGACTCAGTGATGTCGGAAGCAATGCTGCCCGTATTTCAAATACTAGGCAGAGTTACACAAAGTGACCTGTGAACAGGTCTCAGTGGAGCTTCCAGGCTAAGAACGGACTGAAAAGAAGGAATAGGCTGTTCACTGATGAGGGATGAGCCACTGAAAGCCGTTTCAGTAGTAGTAGAATACTGGCTGATATCATGAGGGAAGATGAGCCCACCAGGTTGGCAGGCACTCGAAATAAGACCAGGGAAAAGGTGCCTTTTCAAACAGCGTCACCTTTAATGATGTGCATGCGGTAAACATCTAAGGTCCTTCAGTTGCTGATGGTGTATAGGTAGACATAAAAAGACACACCTGCAAACAATTATTAAGCATAGAATATATTTAATAATTGAGTATATTATTAAAGAGGAGCTGATACCAAGGGCTCAAGCAGAAAGAAAATGTTTTGAAAAGGATGATGGCAACATATGTACAAATGTGTTTGATACAATTGATGTATGGATTGTTATAAGAGCTGTAAGAGACCCCAATAAAATTATTTATTAATAAAAACAAAACAAATACACAAAATATAAATCTAAGAAATTGGAAGTCTTCAAAAATGAAATAGAACCAGCAAAAATTCACATCGTAGGTATCAGGAAACTGAAATGGACTAGTCTGGGCCAGTCTGAATCAGAAAATCATGCCAGGAGTGACCAATTCAGAATGAATGGCTTCTCCTTTATCATAAAAAATGGCATTTCAAGGTCTATCTTGAAGTACAATTCTGTATGTGATAGGAAGATATGTATATGCCTACAAGGAATATGAGTTCATGTGACTATTTTTGGAATGTTTGGATCAACAATTAAAGACAATGATGAAGAGATTAAAGAATTTTACCAATGCCCACAGCCTGAAATTAATTAAGCATGCAATCAAGATGCACTGATAAATACAATTGCTTGGAAGGTGAATGTTGGAAACTGAAAGGAAGGATCAGTAGTTGGAAATTATGGCCTTGGTGATAGAAATGAAGTTAGTTATTGCATGATGGGATTTTGCAAGATCAATAACTTCTTCATTGCAAACGTCTTTCTTCATCAACATAAATGATGACTATAAATATGGGCATCACCAGATGGAATAAACAGGAATCAAATTGATTACATCTGTGAAAAGAGATGATTGAGATACTCAATCTGATCCTCCAAAAGGAGGCCAGGTGCTGATTGCGGAACAGACCATAAATTGATCATATACAGGTGCATATGATGGGCTCTGGGAGGACATCATGAACATCATGTATAAGGAAGACAAATGGTCATTAAAAAGAGAGAAAAGAAAGGACAGATCAAAGTGAATGTCAGAAGAGTCTCTGAAGCTGTTCTTTGTCATAAAGTGGCTAAGGCAAAAGGAAGAAATGATGAAGTAAAAGAGCTGAACAGAAAATTTCAAAGGGCAGCTCTAGAAGACAAATCACATCTAGAGTTAGAAAACCAAAGGAGAAGTACACGTCGTATCTAAACCTGAAAGAACTAAAGAAATAAATTCAAGCCACCAGTTGCAATATTGAGAGATTCATCGGCAAAATACTGAACGATACAGGAAGCATCAAAAGAAGATGGAAGGAATATGCCAGAAAGCACTGGTAGAAATTGAATGTTTTTTGATGGGTAAAACCAGAATTGTGATGGGTAACATAGGATTAAGAATCAATGGTATTTAAGGATGAAATACAAGTATTACTGAAGTTATTCGCTAAGACATGGTTCCAGAAAATTGCAATGTTTCAACAAACTAAAGCAGCCCTGGAAACACTCAATACTCTATGACAAGGAACGTGGCCAACCAATTGGAAGAGATCCATATTTGATACATTCCACAGGAAGGTGACCCAATAGAATGCAGAAATGATCAAACAATATCCTTAAAACCACAAACAAGTAACCTGTTGCTGAAGATAATTAAAAACTGACGGCAGGAATACAAGACAATGAATGTAATTGCTTTAACCTGGAAACTGACAGATGTTTCCAAATGCACACTATCTTCAGAAGAGGACAGGGAACAAGAAAAGAATATCATTACTGAAAGCAGAGATCACCAGAAAGATGCTAACTTCTGTTTTATTGTCTAGGCTAACTAATCTCACTTTGTGAATAACAACAAGTTACCGATAAA